AGAATCTTCTGAGCATATTAACAACATTTCTCTCTCTCTCTCTCTCTCTCTCTCTCTCTCTCTCTCTCTCTCTCTCTCTCTCTCTCTCCTTCCTTCCTTCCTTCCTTCCTTCCTTCCTTCCTTCCTTTTCTTTCTTTTTTTTTAATAATAGATGCAGCCGGATGCCAAGTCTTCAGGCAAGCAAAGAATGCATTTTCTGTGGAAAACAGAGTGAGAAGTCAAAGGTTGCTGTGGCTAGAGGAGGAGAACTGAGGAAGAGACTCCTTTCCCAGACTTTAGACTGCGCTTCTGAAAAAACACCATCTCACCATCTCTCAAAGAGGTTCTTTGAGTTTCAGAACTTGGTAGGAGTAATATTTTTTTGTAGGAGTAATTGCGGTGGGGGGAGGGGGCATAAGGGGATGAAATACCGTGTGTAGGATGGATGGATTTTTCTGTTTAAATCTTAAAAGGGGCAAATTACTGCAGTATAGGCATGAAGGATGGACTCTTGCAGCTGTGATGTTGTTGAAATGATACTCCTGGTAAACAAAGAATTTTAAGTCCAGGTTTCCCTGTCCCTACTGTCTTCTGGAGCTTCTGAGGTTTGCCCCTGGACTTTGGAACATATTCTTTTTTATTGTTTGAATTAACTTTGTTTTTACTTTGTTACTTGTGTTTTAGAGCTACAGGATCTCCCCATCTCTCAGGTGCTGTTACTAAACCACACCCACAACCAAAGCACCATCAACCCCTCCCGTTAGTCCGTTCTGCTCCATCACCACTTTATTCTTGCCCTACCCAGTTCGATAATCAACTTTCTCGGACTTCTTGTTAGATTGGCTCCCTCTCATCTCTTGTTTGATTTCTCTATATCCCACATAAAATAACACTATCTGGATTTGCCTTTCTCCTCTGGCTTATTTGAAGGAAGGGACTTTTTTGTGCCTAAGGATACCCTCTTTTACTTTGGGGTAACTCTCGAGGACACATCATGGCCAACTCACTTTCTCTTTCCTTATTAATTGAGGACATAGGAAGAGAGCCCAACTATACCAGGAGTCATAGTCTTTAGATTAGATGCAATCAATATCATTTTCTTTTCTTGCCATGTTGAAGTTCCTCTTCAAATAAATTGTCTGATAACACAGATGGAAGTAAAACAATTCAATCAATCCTTTCTCTTATAGATCTCTGACATCTGATCTCAATTCTATCAGGAAATAATCCATATGGCATTGAGAATAATTAGAACTCACAAGATATCAAATCTATGTTTTTTCCATAAAAGGATGAAGTAGGTCATAAAGCCACTAGCTGAAGATCATTAAGAAAAAAAAGATCAATGGGAATAAAATTATAATTTATTAATATGATAATCACAGATCTGATAAAAAATTCAATAATACTCAAAAGTTTTAAAGAAGCAAATCAGAAGACTAAAATACCACCTTAAAATTTAATTCCTGGGCCCTCCCTGGTGGCGCAGCGGGTTAAAGCACAGCACTAAGAAGCTAAAGCCACTTCCGCATGAGTTCGATTCCCGCCTGCCCCGGAGGTGACCACATGGTGTGGCAGACCTCTCCTGACCCGCCCGCTGCTCCCCTCAGCAGTGTACTTCGTAGATCTGCCTGCTCTGCTCCTTGCTCTGTCTCTGGTGAATCCTCTCACCCTCCACATCTCTGGCCTCTACCCCAGTTCTGTATGAATAAATAAAATCTTTTAAAATTTAACTCCTAGAGATATTGCAAAATGAAGATACAAATAGATTCACAATAAATTAATAAATCAGGCTCTGTTTTTAGTATTTTGGCAGCTTTGGGTTTTTTGTCTGTTTAAATCTAGAATAATACCACCTAAGTCTCTTGTTGAATCTTATACTTACCACCTTTGAGAGTTCACCAAACACTAGGTTATTGCATATTATCTAACTATATACAGATAGGACTATTAGAAGATTAAGGTATAGACTGCTGGTGGGAATGTAAACTGTTCCAACCTCTATGGAAAGCTTTTTGGAGGTTTCTCAAAGTGTTAAAAATGGAGCTTTCATATGATCCACCAATTTCACTCCTAGGTAGATACCCAGAGGACACAAAAACATTAATTCAAAAGGACACTTATACCCCTATATTTATTGCTGCACTATTTACAATAGGAATGAGGTGGAATCAATCCAAATGCCCCCAAATAGATGTCTGGATCAAGAAGATGTAGTACATCATCTCCAAACAACTAGCAACAACAAATGTTGGCAAGGATGTGGAGAAAGAGGAACTCTCCTGCACTGCTGGTGGGAATGCAAACTAGTACAACCACTATGGAAAACTGGAGGTTTCTCAAACTGCTAAACATGGAGCTTCCCTACGACCCCCAATCCCACTCTTAGGTATCTACCCAAAAGACACAAAAACACTGATTGAAAAAGATACCTGCACCCCCATGTTTATTGCTGCTTTATTTACAATTGGAAATACATGGAAACAGCTCAAATGCCCAAAAGTAGATGACAGGGTTAAAAAGATATGATACATATATACAATGGGATATTACTCAGCAACCAAAAAAGAGAACACATGTCTTTTGCAGCAACTTGGATGGAGCTGAAAAAGATCATGCTTAGTGAGATAAGCCAGAAAGGGAGAGAAAAATACCAGGTGGTTTCACTCATACAGGAGTATAATGGACCAGGTGAGAAAATAACAAGAATAATGAACAGCCACATACCAGAGACATTTTGTGGGGGTGGAGTGGGGAATGGGATCAAAAACAGGGGGTTGGGGAGGGAAATGCACGGGGTTATGGTGATGGTACATGGGTGACTTAGTGATGGGAAACCCGCAGGGATTACAAATGAGATGGAAAAAAAAAATGTACAAAATGATGTAAAAATAAACTTTTGTAAAATAAAATAAAAAAAAAGATGTGGTACATATACACAAGGGAATATTACTCAGTGATCAAAAAGAGAAACCCATGCCATTTGCAGCAACATGGATAGAGCTAGAAGGAATTATACTTAGTAAAATAAGCCAGAAAGAAAAATAAAAAATACTGGATGGTTTCACTCATAGCAAGAGTGTAAGGGAACAGGGGAAAAAATTGCAATAAAGTAAACAAATCACAAAAAACTATAAACCTGAAACATTCTAAGGGGGTGAAGAGGGGAGTAGGATCAAACTGGGGTGGGAAGAGCACACAGTATGATGATGATGGCACATGGGTAAATTGGTAGTGGGAAGTCCATTGGGGATTACAACTGAGATGAAAAAATGTACAAAGTGAAGAATGAATGATTTATAAAATGAAGAATAAATATATGTGTGTGTGAGTGTGTGTGTGTATTTAAGGTATAGGTTTGAACGAGATGAGAGGCAGAGAATATATTTAATTGAACTAGGTGAAACCAAAAAACTCCTGAGGTTATCCAAATGTCCTCTTTTAATTTGGGAAGAAAAAAGTAGAGATATTTATATGTTGTAATTAACTAATATTATAGTTCAAAGACAACAGTAATAAATAATTTTATTTTACATAGTGTTAACATAGAAATGTTATATCTTATCCACAACTGCCTCTTCCAATTTTCAAAATTATAGGTTTCTGGGTAAGAGACAAATACACAGTAATATAAATATAATAGACTTAAATAACATAGTAGAGATAGGTATTGCTACTTAATAAGTATTGCTACTTATTCTCATTAAGTAGGATTGGACATATATATTTATTATTTAGTATTTGATGCATGACAGTATACTAATTTGGAAAAAAACATGCAATTGTGAAAATAGAAATATAAAGCTACACATTTCTTTGTGTATATTGAAATTGAAAAGGTAGGTTCATAAGTATAAGGCATATTAGCAGACATAAATTGGAATAAAAAAGTAGGCAGATGACATGATAAAGCAAGTTAAGAAAAGCTATCTCCTAAATGTATCAGCATCACAGTGTTTGCTGATCTAATTTGATATGTCTGCACTTTTCTGCCAATAAACTTATATGAAAAAATGTGTTTTCTCTTGCATGTAGTAGATGCTTAGTAAGTATATTTAATGATCAATTATTCATAAAGAATTCCTTCCACAAAGTCAAACAACCCACAAATGGGTCCTTGCTTTTGCTGATGGTGCTGATGGTGTGCTTTCTGTGGAATACTTTTAAACAAAACTGCTGTCATAAAATAAGGTTTCTTGCAGAAACCTTAATCTAGAGAAGACTACATAATATACAAAGCACCAGTTTTTAGACACAGGGAAAATGGTTTGAAAG